ACTCTGAGGACATTGCTGTGTGTGACTATTGGACCTGGACAAAGACTACACTGTGTATATACCTGTAAATATCCTGTATATAATACATATATTCTACTATCAAGATTGTTCGCTGCCTGTGTCTTCACTTCACTTTGGGAAACTCTGCTGGTTATCACCTCCTGGGGTAATCCTTGAAGTACCGCCACTCTGTCAGGTAGAACTGAAAGAAAGACGAAAGGGCTGTTGGCCCATATATTATTTAGCTGTTTTCCCATTCTGTGTAAAAAAAAATTTCTAGTGTCACCAGTCTAAGACTGAAGAGACTGGTACCATGTAATGGAAGACATTCAATTCTGTCCTTTGTGTCCTTGGTGAGCCAGTGGATCCTGACTAGGTGAGCCTTCTATAGATACTAAGGATGCAACAGTAGATGAAGCCCTTTCCGTGTCTAGCAGCAATCCTGCGTTGCTTTGCTAGAGGCATGGTCTCAGACTGAGAATTTCTAAGCTCTGTTTTAATGGATTCCAAGAGAGGAAGAATCTTAGACCATAATTGCTCTAGGTAGGTGCCTATCGTGATTGATAGTTGGCCACATGGAGCAGAAGTGACTGAAGGGAATAAGTTTCCCTGCCAAAGACATCACTGTTTCCATATTCTTATTAGTAGGGTTCAGGGAAATCATTTCTTGTTTTGGATAAATTTGTTCTACGATGATAGAAATGGGACTGGTGTCATCCCAAAATTTCTATATCTATTTCCTCGTACCTTGTACCTGTGATACATTCTTCCTAGATCTTTAATAGGAAGTGACTTGGTGCAATCATCCTTTATTAGCTTCACCATAGTTAATATAAATGCTCAGCTAAGTGATGGCCGGTCTGAAAAGGCGGTTCCTACATTCCCAATCGACGGGATGCGGTGAACCGAGAAGTGAGCTGTGCAAATGAAATGAAGCACATTGAAGGTGACAGAGGATGATAATGGATCGCATCATATTGGAGGGAGATTCGTTCAAGGAGTGAGATCCGAGCTTATGCCCAGAATTGGCAGATAGTCAATTCGAAGCTGGGACCGGTCGTGCTCGATCATAATGGGCCTCGACACGAGATGGATTGGAATTTGGAAAGCATCTTTTCCTGCCAAAGTGTTGATATGGTAGAGAAAAAACAAGAACAAAAATCTTCTCCATGTTGAGGTCGATCCTAATGGAATCAACGTATATTGAAGATAGTGTCAAAGCTGGTAGCTACAATAGAAAGGAGTCAAACGGACTGACTGCTCAACAACAGAGAAGTAAAAAGACCACTCAGTTTTGCAGTCCTACCTGCAGTTCTGCCGGTCAAGGCACTGCCTGCCCACATGTCTAGGGGTGGCGGCTGGTAACTTTGGGATTGAGGCTTTTAACGTTCCCAGAATGCCGTAGGCTGATGGGAACATCTTCAGGATCTTGCAGATGTTACAGCGCAATCGCTGTGTCGCCTTCTAGAGCCTGAGTAGGTTATCAAGAATAACAACCTTTTTCTGGCTAAAAAGCCATACACCAAAAAATGGCAGGTCCTAACCTGTCAGTTGCTTAGACACTGGTTTTCAGGCGTATTGAGCAGCAGTGCGCTCGTGATGCACCTGCAACAGTGCCTCCTAGTGATGTGGGAGGCCTGAACTGTAAGGGTGCACAGGAGCTACCCGCAGGGTTTGCATCACCAAACTCCGTAAGTGGTGATGATAAGCCCCTATGGCAGAGGAGTAAATGGCTACATGGCGGCCAAAAACAAGTAACAACGCCAATCAAAGAATTCCTCATCTGTTAACAGTAAAAGAGTGTGACCATCTGCGACAACCGAGAGGGGTGTAGGAAGATTGGTTGGAAACTCTTCCACCACCACCACCCCCGTGACTAATGTAAGTCCCAATCCTGAATAAGGAAAACCCTCCTGATGAACAGGGGAGAAGACTGACCTAGCATGAGTCTGACCAAGCACAGGTCAACAGTTGTAGAACGGAGAAGGCCGAATGGATTATCAGCAGGTTTGGTCGAAGCTGCGAATGTTGTGCTACTGAGTTCAAGGGAGCACTACACCTGTGAAGCCTATGTGGAGGCATAAAGCACTCCATAGCCCATGGCTCAGAACAATGCCAGGTAGAGCGGGATGGTGATGGTGGCCGAGAGCTCATAGTTCCTATCCCAAACAAAAGGGACTGGTCCCACAAAAGAGCCCGACAGTTGTATGAACGAGCCCCTTGAAACAATCATCCATCGATGATTCACCAGTCACTCTCATGATTGCTCATAGAGAGGCTGTGGCGAGACATGCCTTGTTTTCCCTTTCCTCTCCTTGTGATATAGAGGAAGAGACTCGAGCTCCAACTCAGGAACGTCAAATGCCCGCCCTCATGTAGGGCTAAAAAGGGCCACGGCCGGACTGGACGGCAGCGCAGTCACTGAATGGCCAGTTGGAGGAGAGAGGCTGTCAGGCGATCTCGGAGTCTGTGCAGGTAGAGCTGGCACATCGTCTCCTCAGAGGCAACTTCGCTAGCCTCTGTCGAGGATTCCTCAGTTGATGTAGACTTAGATTTTAAGGACTCCTTGGTATTTTCAGGTCCCCTATTGGGGGCTGCCCCTATCTGGGTAAGATGTAACTTACTCAGGCAGTAAATCATTAATGTGCCTGAGAGTCAAAATGAGGAGGCCAAAAAAGGCGGGAAAGGAGAAAGAAGTAAACAGTTGAAGTGTGTGTGGGGGGGGGGGTAAGCCAAATAGCTGGCAAGCGAAAAAGAAAACAACTCACAGGGGGATCGTAGATTAGATAATTGAGAAGGGAATGAATCCAATTTAGAGGGAACTGATCAATAAGCTAAGGGCGAAACCCTGTGGAAATAACTCTATGACTGTAGAACTTTACAGCACGGCGGAAAAAAGGAACTGAGGGGAATCTTGGGTGGGAGGAGCATGTGCTTCATGGGGGATCATCCCATAAAATTATTATTTTTAGCTCTGGAATGCTCTGAGAACGTCAGCGCAGGCGCAGACCAAACTCCATATGTGTGTATTCACAGAGGCCACGAAGAAGAACCAAAAGCTTCAGGGACCTCAACAACGCCACGGAGGCAAAGTCCGCGAGCTCCAGAAGGGAAGTGGGTGGGTTGCAGGGAGCGTGGTAACCCAGCAAAAATCCAATACCATTCCTGGCCCCAATCGACACGTGGAGTGCCTCTAGAACTGGCTTTACCACCAAGGAGCACCTAGTAACCTCCAAGATGGATTTATAAACAATGTCTACTCCCCTCACCCCTCCAGTCTACCCTGATGCTGGACAGCATAACTGAGTGGACAAGCAAGCGCTAGGGGAGGACCCCCTCTCCGTCAATCCACGCCTTGGTTATGCATGCCAGGTCTGCATCCTCCTCCAAAATAAGATTGTGAATCACCTGGAGCTTATTGGATACAGACCTGGCAATCAACAACACCAGTTTTAGAATGGAGGGCTGGCTAGGCTGGCTACCTCGATATTGGCGGTTGATCACAGCCCCAGAACAATGAACAGCCTTCAAACATCTGTTCATCGTTCTTCTAACATGAGGAGGAGCTGTGTCAACGTTATATCTCCCTCTACCCATGATCACCAGGATGTTCCAAGGTCCCTCGCTGGGCAAACAGGCCTTCTACTCCATATCAAAAGGAAAAAAGAGAAGAAAAAAGAGAAATAAAAGAGAACAAATACCCTAAATTAATACAACTTAAGCACAGAATAAGTGCGTAAATCAAATACAATGCTATCAAATAAAAATCCCAATTTATAAAAAAAAACCCATATATATAAAATTAAATTAAATTTTAAAAAGAAACATCCAAGTGCCTAACCCCCACATATAGTCCTGTCCTCCTCCACCACGTAACCTTGTCCTTTTAAATATTGCTGGTCTTGATGTTATTTTCATGATGTTACTCATGGGGTATGCTACAAAGGTCTTCATAGTGAGCATAGGGGACGTCAGGGACAATAAAATCCAAGGTGTAAGTGACTCAGTCACTGGCCTTTCCCCCCCTTGGAGAAGAAATAGAGCATTTCTGCAGCTAGTCCAAAGGGAGCAAACTGAACAGACCAGTCTTAGAAGAAATCCTGCCATTTGAAGATCCAAAATGGGGACCAGCCAGCCAAAATCCACAATTGGCAGATCTCTCTCCCTCATGACTGCCTGAAGTCTTCCCCCATAGCCTTGCTTCCAAAGCCAGAGATGAACCACATGGACTCGCCAGCAAACCAAAACTCCTCGGGCTTCTAAGGTCTTACAAACACCACAGCCAGCCACAAAGAGTCCAGCACCCTTGGCTCCAGGCTCTAGTTTCAAGCGTACCGCCAGGACTAGCTCCTCGGGGAGGGGGGCACCAAACCTCCAGCCTCTGGATCCTTTCCCCTCCGCTGACCTCCTCCAGAATCCAGGTGGGTCCTGGACCCACTCCCCCTCCAATGTTTCAGCGCTCACCAATCTCCTCCTGTAGTCGGGCAAGGCTTCCAAGCTTCTGAGTTTCCGAGCTCTGTCGACAAGCCAGTGGCGGCTCTGCGTTCCGAGCTCCTGCTCCAGCCCAGCCCAGCAATCCCACACCTCATCCACCGACCAGACTACCAGGTAAACGGGGAGAGGAAGGCAGATCAGAAGGGAAAAGAAAAAAGGAAAGAAAAAAGGAAAGAACGAAAAACAGTGGGTGAAAAAACAGTGGGTGAAAAAACAAGAGGCAAGCTGGTGCGGCGGAGAAAGACACTAGCTGCCCGCCACCGGCGCCAGTCGGAAGAACGTTATTTGGAGGGACTTAAGGAGCTGCAAGACAGATCTTGCAAGTGCATTGACTTCCTGGTGGAATATGTAGAATAGTGTGGCAGTTACAGTTTCCTAGCTCAATTTTTCTAAGAAAAGCTCAATACTTATCAGCACCCCTCATAAAATAGGTTTTGTTTTTCATAATTTCAGTTTCAGCTCAGATTCTGTGCAGGTTTGGTATATGGTAATATGCAGTAAATTACCTGACAAGTTCCGGTATGTTGTAAGTCAGTGTGACTGTTGAATCAGGATTGATTATATAGTGTCTTACAATAATGCCTTCAGGTGTCTGGAAGGGAAAACAAAGTATTGTAAAGTGTTTGAATGCCTGAAAAATGCCTGCATATATTATTAGTACTTCACATCGTAAGAGTTCTTGTGAAACACAAGATTTAGCCTGTCTCCACAATGGTTGTCTGCCCTCAGGATGTGGAGAAACTAAGTAATATAAAAGATAGAGACTGAATGTTGACAAGTGATAGCTGGATCCAGATCCCAATACAGCCACAAAACACACTGGGTGGCCCTGGGTTAAGCAAAAACTCTGAAGTGCTTTGAGGATAGGTGTGGACATACTGACTTCTGGAATATCGTGAATAGAGTGTATAAGAAAGATATGAATATGGCCAAATCAACCTTTCAGAGGACTGCATCTTTCCTGCTCTTTACTTTCTTTGCTCTTACATTACTTTCTCCCAGCAATGTAAACTGCTTTGTAATGCATGACTCCATAATTAGGCATGAAAGGAAGCCACTGTTTACATTTCCAAAATAATCCCAGAAAAACGTACACTTCTCTTAGAACATGTATTCACATTTGCTCCTTTTTGCCACTTGAGGGAGCATTTCTTCTGGAACGGGATTTCTCTGAATGTGTGCTCTGGCCCTTATTGAAATACTGTTAATCCTGGGTTTTTGGTGGAATTTCTATACCATTTCTATGAAAGCCTTGGCACAATTTAAGGCCCAAAACCTTTGGCGTGAAATAGAAGTTTCAGGAAAAGAGCACACACAAGTTAATTCCTCCCCCCACAAAAGCTATTTATATGAAGTTTTCTCAGTCATCATCACATAACCACAAAACCCTGTAATGAAGAGCCAACAGTCTCTGAATATACACACAATTACACCCACGGAACACACTCAAACACACAATGCAAGGGCACAATCCAAAGACCACACTGTTTTTTTCCCCTTTCCTTTTAACTGAACACACAATACTTACCACAAACTCAACAATCACATTTCTGTCCAAACGTTCCATGTTGTGATTCATAGAAAAGACACGGAAGCGCACTGAGAAAGAAAGAAGAGGTTATTAATAATTAATGACAAAAATAAAGGGAAATGGTGACACCACGGAAATGACTTGACAACATCAAAAAAATGAATCTTCTACTCTCCATGCCTAATTGATGTCTCACTGAGTCTCAAAAAGGCAAGCACTGGAACTTTTATCAGGCAAGGTCTAACTTTCATGTCTAGCCTTTCTCCCCAAAACAGCAAAAATATCCATTGATCCAGAGAAAAGATCCAGGGGCACTTTCAACAACACCTTTCCTTCCTCTCCAGATCACCTTCTCCTGATTTATCTGATTCAGTGGAAGAACTCTGTTTGATCCCTGCTCTGCCTTTTGAGGATGCGACTGTACAGTGGGGAAAATGCAAACAGATCTGCTGCGAAGCCACATCTGGGAGGTTCGGTTTCCCCAGGTTAATTTGCTTCAGCCAACCACACAGAGGTCAGCAGAAAGAGATGGAAATCAGTCTTATTTACAGTTTGTTAACCATTTTAAACTCTGCTCCCCACACCTGCTGACTGGATTGCTTGTTTCCCTCTTCCTGATCCCTTTCTTTCTCTTTTTTAAAAGGCTTTCTGTCTTAGCACTAAGAAAGAAAGAGAGAAAGAAAGAGAGAAATAATAATAATCCAGAATATTCACTGGATGTGCCCTGCCTATACTGCCCTCAAAACTCTTAAAGAACCAACCACTGGGACTAGAGCCCTTGGAAACACAAAAGGGTAGACAAAGAATTCAACTCCCCCAACAAAATAACCCACAAACCACCTTCCTTGAATTTTATAACTACCTTGACTTTACTCATTGGCCACAGCATCCTCTTGGACGTAATTTTTCCTTTCATAATCTGCGATACACATTCCAGCAGCACATCAGTTATTTCATTTTTCAGTTTATGTATTTTTATTTAAGAGTAGCTAGCAAAAGGGTTTGTTGCATTTTATTGTATTTTTGTATCATATAGTAATTTTTATGAATTTACTGTCTATTGTGAATAACCCAGAGAGTGCCAACATTAATGTAGTACTATAGAAATGGAAAATGATGAATGAATGAATAATTGCTAAGCATAATAGAGAGATCTGACTGTGGTGTCTGCTCAGGTCATGATTATTCATATGCTATCTGCATAGACCAATGGGAATGCTGGAGGGGCGGAGTCACGAGATATAAGAGACTCAGCAGAAGGAGGGGAAGAGTTAGAGTAGATAGGAAGTTAGACAGAGTAAGAGTCAGGGAAATTGAAAGTTTTGGAGTTTGGGCAGGAGAGTGATGGTTGAGAGGGATAAAGGAGAATGTTTGTTTAATAGTTAACAACTTTGCTTGTTCTATCAACATCTGTAACAATAAACAATTTCTATTTGGTCTTTTTAAAATGACATATGGCCTGGACATCTATCATTAATAATAGTTATTATGAATTCAAGATGGCGTTCTGATAGTCGGACGAGAGTGTTTCCCTGCTGCTTCGGTGGTCTTTTTTCCCCCCTTTTCTTTTGGTTTCTTTGGGCTACTTTGTTTTCATTATTCCTTTGAACTGCTCTCCCTCATCTGGTAAGCATCTTATTGGTTGCTGAGCTGTTCCGGAGGCTGTTTTGGAAGGCAGGGAAGAGAGCTTGCTATGAAGCAAAGCCTGGTGCTGTGAGGCTTGTTTGGAGCCTGGTGTTGTGAGGCTCAGAAAACCCGGAGCTGCGAGGCTCAGAAGAACCCGACCACAAGGCTTGGTGAGCCCAGCACCGGGGGGGGGGGTTTGAGAGACCTAGCCCAGCACTGCATGGCTCGGAAAAACTCGCCCTGTGAAGCTTGGTGAGCCGGGTGCTAAAAGACTTTTTTTTATTTTTAAGTATTTATTTAAGAACAGGGATGGAGAATACAAAAAGTAAGGGGGAATAGGGAAAAGGGAAAAAGGGGTTGGGGGATAGGAGAACATAAAATATACCATCATCCGATTAATTCATATTACAAATACAAATCAACTTTTTGCTTTTTCACCATTTGATTA